TGTTGGCCATATTTATTACATTTGGACTGTATTTAGAATAATGCATCAAGCCTATTTTCTCTTGGGATGTTTTAGTGATGGGTTACAGTAAAAAATGACTAAACTGAAAGTGTCAACGTTTCAGTGAAAAGGATTTAGATAAATCCTGCACCTGAGATTTTTAGAAAGTACTGCAAAAGAAGAACAGCAAGTTTCCTATAAAGTAAATTAATACTCAGAAGCAGCTTTTTTTATGTCCTACAAGTAATCAAAGTTCCAGATCCTATATCTAAGATCACAATTGCTTATATAGTAAAATCAGCATGTAAAGGTAAAGCTACCAGCTAACCAGGAACGCAAAGCATTTTACACCACCTGCGGACATTGTGATTAACGACCTGCTGACAGCAAAATAAGGAGTTTACAAAGTGTTCCAGCTAAGTGCTTATAAAGAACCTGGATATAAGGCACAAAAAAAAAAAAAAATAATAATTAAAAATGATTTCAGAAACTTTCCAGGACACCTCAGATCTAAAACCAGCACCACTGAAAAGTAGTTTTTTTTTTTTTTTTTTTTTTTTTTTTTAAAGAAAGGTGAGGTGTTGATATGCAGGGGTACATACATTTGAACTAACATTTAGCTAGATTGTCTATGTAAAGTTAACCTGAGTAACTCTAACAGCTGATTAGATCAAACAACTGTCAGATTTTAGTCTAAGATAAGAACCTTTCCCAATGAATCTGACTGCTAACTAGATTTGGCTAATCAGTTAATTTAGAACCCGTCTGAGTCATGCAATTAGCTAATCAGATAAAGCTGATCAGTCAAATTTAGAGCTAATCCAAGTCAAGCTAACTTTTTTTTCCTAAATCAAGCCTCACAGCCAAACAAATTAAGCTAATATCACATTTAGGTGGAATTGTCTGCATTGTTTAGGTTCAATCCTGCCCTAAACTTTAGAAAAAAATAAATAAATGATTAGAACACTGCAAAAAAAATATGATCAACACTTCTTGTGTTATTGTTTTTTAAACACTAATCTAAGTACCTGTTTCTCAGGTGTTCATGTGGGGCCAGTGTCGAGGCCAGTCGATCCCCCTTCCCCACCTCACCCACTTCAGCAGCACGGACGATGTGTTCGCTTGCTTTGCTACCCCCGCTGTGATGTGGCGCCTCGTGTCTATGGGTAAAAAATATTTTAAAAAAGAATATTTGGACAACTCATTCACAGCACCCTCACATTTACCACCCATACTAAGGATGTGAAAGAAAATATAACCCGGAAACATATTACTAAACTGAAAAAAACTTTTTCAATGTGAGAATTCTCATCTAATCTACAGTTTATTTCAGAGCACGATGATTTCATGACGGTCTCCGAGGCTCTCAGGAAAGAGTTCGACAGCCCAGAAACGGCCGACCTTAAGTTCAGCGTTGACGGAAAATGCATCCATGTTCACAAAGCTGTCCTTAAGATCAGGTTTGATTATTTCGGTCTTGAATGTCACAGCCTTAGACCTGTTAGAGCTCCTTGGATGTCATGGGGGAGTTTTTGCAGCTGAGGATACAGTTTGTTTTCTGTTCTTTCTGCAAGATGCAAATGTTCCTAAAAGCTAATTTGATTAATATTCTTATCCATAGCTTTCCTTCAGCCTAAATTTTATTTTTGCCATCAGGTGTGAGCATTTCCGATCCATGTTTCGCTCTCAGTGGACAGAGGGTCAACAGGAGGTGATAGAGATCGGCCAGTTCTCCTACCCCGTCTATCGATCCTTCCTTCAGTTTCTCTACACAGACACTGTTGACCTGCCACCTGAGGACGCCATTGGTGAGACATTACACACTTTACCAAATATATCTTCTAATCTGTGTATTTAAGGCTTTTCATTTCATATGGTTTGTGTTTTTTCTCGTCTTTATGCTTCAGGTTTGTTAGATTTGGCCACGTCTTACTGTGAAAACCACCTTAAACATCTGTGTCAGCAGATAATCAAGAGAGGAATCACTGTAGAGAATGCCTTCACCCTGCTGTCTGCAGCCATTCGATATGATGCAGAGGTAGAACTCCTCTCTACTTTTTTTAATCTTAATGCAAAGGGGAAATCAGTAAACCAGGGTGCAATAAACATTTTGATATTAGCGCAGCAATGTTTAACACATGGCCAAAAACTAATAATCTAAAGAACATTTTCAGTTTTTCTGGAGAAAAGTAAAGATGAAAATCAGTGTGATGCTGCTTGAAAAAGAAAGTCTACATTTCCTCTTTTAAAATGTCATTACATTTTCTACTTTACGTCACAAAGGGGCTTGCGTCATTTAGCTTTATACATTATTTTTTTTTAAAGTTGCAACATCTGAGATTTTCCATGATAGAACAAGACAAAGTAGAGCATAAATGTGTTTTTTAAAGAGGAAACAAAGGATCTGTTTTTTTTTTAAGCTTAAAGGGGCATAGTCACATTATATGACATTTTTAGAATTTATTCTCCAGAAACTCAATCTTGTTGCTTACAAAGTTTGTTTCATATAGATTACCGCATCCTGCTGGAGTATTATTTGTTATCTTTGTGTTTTAAACTTGGTTTTTTCTCAATTTATTTCTAAATAAACGAAAGCTTAACCAGAGATAAAGGACTGTGCCTCTGTGCATGAGGTAAAGAATGGGTTATGCTTGCTTTATATAGCCTTATTTTATGATTATTTAATGGTTAGTGGTCTATTTTTTTTATTGGCATCTAATGTGACTATGCACCTTTAACAGGAAAATCCTGCAAGAACAGCAGTTAGAGACTGTGATTAACTCAGATTAGACCCTATTATATGCTTGTTTGTCCAAACCTACATGAAATTAGTGACAGTACTTGGATATGTGTGTTCAAATATGCTCACCAGCCAGTCACAGCTATGAGCTACAGTAATTTGCTAAAGATAATGGTCAAAATGTCGATTTCTATATGCAAAGCTGGTAGCGACACCAAAAATAACCTGCAACTGTAGTGGCAGTCAAAGGTGGTTCTAGAAAGTATTGCCTCATTGGAGCTGAGTGCAAATCTATGTAGAACTTTAAAATTTGTATCTGTTAAACAAAAAAAATGGAGCACCGTTGATATTTTTGTCTTCCACTTATCTGCCATCCTTTTTTTTCTTCTTCTTCTTTTTAGGATCTAGAAGATTTTTGCTTTAAGTTTTGTGTAAACCATCTGACTCAGGTGACTCAGACTGCAGCTTTCTGGCAAGTCGATGGAAGGATGCTCAAAGAGTTTATCAGCCGAGCCAGTCGCTGTGGAGCCTTCAAAAACTGAGCGCTGCTCTTGCTTTCTTGCATTTTAAAAGCAAGTATGCTGCAGGTTCAGCAGAGCAATCCTCCACATATGGAGGAATGATCAGATTTCTGCTGATCCACCTCAAAAGGAATTAAAGCTTCAAGTATATTGCACACTGTGTTGAACCGGACCATATCTATGGATTTTAAATCAGCACTTTGGTCAGTTCCTGTGGAGTCACTCTGAATGTTCACCAATATGAACACTTACAGGCTGCATGTGTTTATTTTATGCAATTTGATTATGCAGTTCTTACATTCCAGTTCAGCTGACTGCACATGCGTGCCAGAGTAAGAAAGTCGCGCTGTACTACAGCTCATCTGTGTGATACATTCGAGGCACCTTTGAAATGTTAGATTCAAGAATCTTTTCCAGTCATTTCTAATGGACTGTAGGTCATTTGGTTAATTGCTACTATTCCTTTGGCCTTGTTTTAGTTTGGCCTTTGCTCTGAGGCACTTAAGCTAGCCTGAACTACTAAGTCAATTTAGCTTTTTAAAGAGATTTGAGAGCAGACTTTAAGAATTTTGCACTATAATCTTAGCTGAAGTTTTACTCTGTTACAATATTATACGTTGTCTTGTTACTCTGCTTATTAAAACATAATGAAGTGGATTTAAAGCTCTGTGAGAAATAACATTACTGTATTGATATGATCCACTGGAACAGAGAGAAGCAGCCTCTCTGTTCTCAATAGATGGAAGTGCGATTCATTTTCTGTTGGTTTTGCTACAAATTCAGGGGAAATGTAAAACCCTAGAACAGCTCAAAACCTCATTTTGTCTCTTGTTTTAGGTGTTTCTTTGTGTCTATTATACAGTTACCAAAGATTGAATGGAAATATTGCTGCCTGGGTGTGCTTGACAAACAGAAATGTGTTGCTGACCAAATTAATCTGGAGCAGGACAGGGATATCAGTTTCGGTTTCCTACCTTAGGTTTCCTTTTCCCGATGATCGTAAATGTCTCCTAAAAGATCTTTATTTGGAAAGAATTTGAACTTGGACCTTATGTGGGTGTTTGAAGGACTGTTCAGATCTAGTAAAACAGGTTACAGGGCAGTTATAGAGTTGAGGTTTACAGATTATTATTATTATTTTCTTCTTAACATGTACTTTTATAGTTTATTTTTGAAGCTCTTACTTACAAGTAACTTAAATACACAACTCTGGAATCCCGAAAGTTGAGTTACTGTTATTTCTGCTGTTAAATACTTGCAATTATTCAGTTGTTTTTATATATATTATACATGTTTAGTTTTTAGTTGCTCTTTCTCTGAAGAAATAAAAACCTTAAAATAAGAAATTTGTCTTATTGACTTTTACCTCAAAGTAATGTATCTCATAAGCATACCTGACTTTTTAAATGTCAGCTTTTGTGGCTGTCGTTTTGTGTACGCATATTATTTGGGGAGGGGGGAGCCACTCACAATATGGCGGCGCTTATTACATCGGTCACTGGCGCACATCCGGGCTTTTTGCAGAAGTAAATCGGATGTGAGAAGTTAGGTGAAGTTCACTACGGAATAATGATTGTTTGTCGTACAAATGACAATATATTGATGTGTTAGTTGTTAAATCTCTAATAATTTTAAGTAAAAGTTGTTGTTTTTTTTACACTGGAGTGCTATTATCGCTAACTTTAAATATGTATGGTCGGTAGTATGATGGCTACTGCTAATCACAGCTTTTATTTTGAAAGTCCCTGCCGGAAACCACTAGTCAGCTATAAGCCAGGTTTATGTGTATACTCGAAGAAGTCTTCCTCATCTTACGTCTGCAACTGAAACAAAATTAGTCTTTTCCCTGCTTTACGTTCCGAATGGACGATAGCATCAAATGGAACCGAGTCGAACCGGACCAGTCCGGTCCGTGTCGAGAAACAAGAGAGAGCAGCACCCAGACTGACAGCAGGAAACAAGGTGAGCTGGATGTAGGAGGCTTTATGTTGTTTTCTGGTTTACTATAACAGCTGGTTTACTAACGTAAAGAACATGTAATAACGCAAACAGTAACGACTGCTGCTTTTGATACACGATTTGGTGTTTATTGTACTGATCAGGATAATAATCTCACTTTAAACTGCTCATACATCCTAGAAAATTCTCATATTTGCATTTAAGAATAACTGAAATAAACTGCCATGATGACAGGTCCAGAATTAAATCTGCTTTGATGAGCTATGACTTGATAATGCATTAGTTGTAATATATTCTGCCTACATTTTCACCAGCATTTTTAAATAATTCTCAATTGCAATATTTTAATTGTGGGATGTCTTACCAAGGTCATGGCCCCAGGTTGTCAAAGGTGAACCTGTTTACCCTGCTGAGTTTGTGGATGGAGTTATTCCCCCGGGAGCAACCTGAAGACAGTGAAAATAGTCAGGTTAGTGAAATGCATTAAATAGAAGCATCATTGTTTTAAATTTTTAACCAAGTCTGTGCTGCATTTAGATCAACAGGACTGGTCTGGTAGTGATACAGGAAGGGAAAGTTTTGGGACTCCATTGTTCAGGCACTGAACTTCACGCTGGACAAGCAGCTATCATCCAGCATGGTGCAAACCTGGCCGACTGTCAGCTCTACTTCTCCAGGAGACCATGTGCCACTTGCCTTAAGATGATCATAAATGGTGAGAAGGATGTTTGATAGATAATTTTAGTTTATTTAGAGCAAGATATGTACATCTGATTGCATCAACGCACTGATTGTACAGCAACATTGTACATTAACAAAAAATAAGCAGCCAAGAACACAGAAAAACAAACCACCAGGTCAGAAGTATGGTATTCACAGAGCTGCACTTCTCCCATATTTAGCTATATCACAGCCTTATTCCAAAAGGTATTAAATCAATCTCTTCCCTCAAAATTCAACACGCAATACCCTGTTATGACAAACAGTAATTTTATTTTATAGATTGTTGCACATTTATTACAAAGAGAAAATCAAGAAGTCAAATACATAGTAATTAACTGTGTGCAGCCTTTGCTGAACAGTTTGTTGTTCCACCTCCAGCAGCAATTCCAGCTTCAAGTATTTTGGATGCCTAAAGCTTTGCTAAGCTCTGCTGGCAGTTTGACCCATTTCAGCAACATCGGGATGGTTCTTCGGGACACTCACAGAGTCACAGATTGCTTTTGATCCTCTCCTGTGACATCCTGATTGTTTGATTTGGGCCGTTGCTCCACATTGAGGTTAGGAACGCTCCTCTCTCCATTGCTACATCTCCGCTGGATTCTTGTGTCGCTGTCTGCTATTTGCTGCCTCTGAAAGAGGAAAAAAAAAACATAGAACGATGCTGCCACTACCATGCTTCACTGTAGGGATGGAATGTGTATGATAATGAGGGGTCCCTGGTTTCCTCCAAATATGAAATTCACACCAAAGAGTTCAATCTTTTTCTTGTAAGACCAAAAAAGTTTATTTTGAGAGTCCTTCAGGTGCTTTTTGACAAACTTTAGAGAGGATTCCTTTTATTAAGGAGTGGCGTTCATCTGGCCTCTCCGCCATACTGGCTTGGCTGGGGGATTGCTGCAGGGATGGTTGTTCTTCTGGAACGTTCTTCTCTCTCCACCGAGGGATAATGGAGCTTTGACAGAGTGAACATTAGGTTTCATATCACCCCGCCGACAGTCAGCCGACTGTCTTCCTTTCATGATCCATGGAGCCCAATTAGCTCGTCAGGCCCTTCAGAGGCGCAGAAAGGTTTTTGTAGTCTTCCCAGATTTTTATCTCTTAAACTCCATTCCCATCCTGCCTTCTGTTCCCTTTTTTTAAATCTTCCCTCTCATCTAAGTGTATGACATTTCATTATGTGTAAAACATTTCCCCTTTCTGCAAAACTACACACCTATCATTATTTTTTCCCCCTATTTGATAACGACACTGTATTTTAATAAAACGTAGTCTACCAGCGATCTCATCATTATTCATTTTCCTCTGATATTTGTATTCTATAAAAGTCTCTTCCTTTCTTTCCTTCATTCCATCTTTTCTCCCAGATTTTTATTCCTTTAATTATTATTTTCCTCCCATCTTTCCCAAATTGAATACGTAACATTAATTCCTTCTCTTAACCCTTTCTAGCCAGTTTATCTGCTGTTTTGTTTCCTTTTACCCCTTGATGTGCTGGTGCTAGTGCTGCACCGATACCATTTTTTGGCCCCGATACCAGGCTGTGCAGTATCGGCCGATACAATCTGTTTGAAATTGATGCGTTTGTGTATATATGAAGAACTGCATACTACTTGGATGTAAAATAATTACATCATGGCTTTGTTGAAAAAGGCTAATACAAAGTGAATCCAGTAGAAATTTTATTGCCTGCCTGGAATGGGTGACAATAGTTGCATAAACTTTTGGCTCTCAAAATGGTATTGGTGCCCTATTTGTTGGTACTCGAAAATACCAACATTTAATGCAGTATCGCAGCAACACTAGCTAGTACCCAACAAAACTGTATATCCATACCATCCCTGTGCAATCTAAACAAACTGTGATGAATTTCCAGTATATAAACATTCCTACTGCTTTCTTTGGACTAAATACTTTCTATTGCCGCCTTTGATTCTGTCAAACCATATGTTTGCACTCTGAAAAGTGACACCTTATATAGAGAGTTGTGTGCCTTTTCAAATCATGTCCAATTACTTGAATTTATGTCAGGTCGCTCAATTTAAGCTGCATGTACTTCATCTAAAATTTAAACATGAATATATACGTTCTTCCTTAATTAATTGTGATAAATCTGTAACACTGAAATATTGGGGTATTGTGTGTAAAATGTTAAGGGAAGCGTTGAGTTTAACACCATTTGAAATAAGCTCATAATGAAACTAAATAAGGAAAGAGACATAGCTATATACAGGAGCGTATTGCATTCACCTGAAAAAAAAAAAAGAATTTGGTCTGTTTTTTTTTTTTTATTTACGGCTTAATTTTTTATAAAAATAAATAAAAACATTCTGTATTTTTCCTGAATTAATAAGATAAACCATGAAGAGAAGAGGGAGGGGGGGAAACAACCGGGCCATGAGTAGCAACCAGTGTCTGAATCCCGAAAGAAAGTAAAAATGAGTTAATTCAGAAAATATTATTTAGATTTATTTTGTAAAAATTATCTTAATTTGGGGGGAAAAAACAGCAATTTATCTTTTTCTATGTGAATGTAATACGCTTCTGTAGCTAAATAAAGATTGCTTAAAGGCAGCAGTAATTACATATATTTACGATTGTGTATTTTTATTGCGTCCATTCGCTGATTTTATTAGGCGCTTTTTCACCTCGAAAACACACTGAACTTTGGAATTGCTCTATGATTCCAAAGTTCTACCTAAAGGTTTCACTTCCTTCCCTTCAGCTGGAGTCAGTCAGATCTCCTTTTGGCCTGGAGATCCAGAGGTCACTATGCTAAAGTCCGTGTCGTCGACGCAAACAAACGCCGGCGGCTCGTCTCTCGCCATGACAGAGGAAGCTGTGCTGGACGCAGTCGCAGTAGAGAAACTGAAGTCCAACAGTCGCCCTCACATCTGCGTGCTGCTGCAGCCGCTGGCGCCGGATCTGGTGCAGTTTGTGGAGGAAACATCTAAAGAGAGTGATTTCATGGAGAGGATGACTGAGGATGACCCAGAGCTGAACAAAGAGGAACTCTTTAACAGGTATCAGACTGCATTTGCAGCTGCAGTATCATATTGTTAGTTATCTGGCCTCCAAGCATCCTTTCTGCATAAGTGCAGACAGGTTACTTGGAGCCCAGATGGTTCCATCCATGAAATACCTGCCATTACATGTACAGATGATGAAAACATGCTTGTTTTTACAAGAAATTAGAAAATAACAGCTATTTGGATCGGTTTGCAATTTCAGGTGTTCTATTTTTTTTCATACTTTTTCAGGGAACGCCTAAGACACCTCAGAGAATTTTCCACTCACTTCCTGGTTGGAACGTCTCTGCAACACAAGGGGATTTTGGTCCAAATAGGCCTGGAGAATTTCTGCGTGGAGCCCTACTTCTCCAACCTTAGGAACAACATGACGGAGCTGGTGGGGGTTCTAGCTGCTGTGGCTGCTGGCGTGCCTCAACATCACTATGGCTTCTACAGGTTAGGATTTCGTTCTTTCAGATTTATAAGCTTGTTTTGCTATTATTGATCATGATTTTTTCTGATTCAGAGAAAACTTGGCCAGCACTGTGCCTGTTCATGGAGAGAATGTTTCTCAAGAGGTGGCTCACCACTGCATGGTCCAGGCCAGGCTGCTGGCATACAGGACAGGTTGGTTTGATCATTTGTCTAAGGTTAGATTTAAATCTTTCATCTGTTATAAATCAGAGTGTGCTGAAAGTGATTTAGCATATATTAGAGGAGCTTAGTTACATTATATATCCCTACAAAAAATATTAAATAGTTATTTATAATGTTATATACACCAAACATCTGTCCTGATATACCAGTTGCAATGAGCAGACATAAACAAACATACCGCCACCTGCTGGCAATACTGCAAACAACAAGACAGGTGGCAATAAGCAACTACTTAAAGGTATTGTGGAGGATTTTCTCGAATTTTTTAAAAGATCCACCCTCTCCACTTTAAGAAAAAATGCATATGCGAGGGCTCCTTGTGCACGCTCTGTTTAAAAGTTGCTGTTCTTATAGCAGCTTACTGTGTCTGAATGTCCACCCTAAATCCCTCAATCACTATATAGAGAGGGGACTATATAGTGGACTATATAGCAAACGCAGTTAACTGACCGTTCGTACTGATGATCACTACTTTTCACTCCCCATTGCTCACGTAACTCCTCCACTGCGCAGTGACTGCACCATCTTTGTTATCAGTTGCTGCTGTCGGGTAGCAGCAGCCTATGGCGACAGCGGACCGCTGTAACAGCAAATCCCATAATGCTTTGCAAGGAGAGCTCTCTGCGCAAAGCATTCTGGGATATATCTGCCTCTTCTGAGGCCTTTCTTTTCTTCTCATACACTTCATAGACACATTTTCTCTTATGACCCCTGGCCATTTTCAAAGAACCACGGTGAGAAAGGTGAGCTTCAATGACTGTCTGAAATCGTAGCTCTCCACATATAGTGATGTGTGAAAGTGCGCATGCGCATAAAAAGATAGCTAACGGGACAATCACGTAGGACAGCCTTACGTAAACATATCACCAGAATGATTGACAATTAGAAGGACCACTTATTTAGATGATCCACCAGGAAATAAAAGATTGTCCCCTATACCTTTAATAGAGCTTCACCATTCTGCAATGCCTCGGGGTAAAGCAACAGCTTGGTGCAGCTGAAGTAAAAACGATATAAATTAAATAAACTGATGAACAGTACCTTTAACTTAGGGTGAATCCTCCCCAGAGCCTCCAATCAGAACATTAAGGAACAAAAAACATTTCCGTTCTTAACTAAAGCAAACAGGGACACGGCATCAAGGTAAGAAATATTTTAATTAAATACATTTTTTAAAGGTCATAGTCTAAAAGAACTCTTCTTTTATTAGAATGGACACAAATGAAATACATTTAAAAAAATTGGTTTCCCAGGTAATTGCAATGTTGCACTAAATTGAATCTGATCTAATCGTATCTTTGGTCATTTTAAGTTATTTTTGTAAATCTACTCAAAGGGCTTTATTTACTAAGAAACGGAGCAAAAACAATGCATAGAAAAAGAACAGCAAATAATGCCCCAGTGGTACTTTTTTTGAGAAAAACATATAAAAAATCATATAACATGATTAACATGCTCCTTTAAGCTGGTACATCTTAGCTTAGAATGTAATAATGTGCTAACCTATTCTTTATCACTGCTGCTGTTTGAGTGTAATTTACCGGATTCCTGGTTTGTGTTCTGGCTCCATTGGATATTTTAGTTCAAGTTCATACTGTTAAAAGCAGGATGTGATGTCATCTGTATGAATTCATGAAACATTTTGTGTGAATTACCGGTAGATAAACAGGTGGCAGGGGGTTTGCTAAACATTTCAGCCTGTGACCCCAAAAAATGTAGTAATAAAGGCTCACGACCCCCTAAAAATGCATGTTGATATTTCCTGCTAAGTTCCATTTATACATACAGTAAAATATATTCCTTTTTAAATAGATGTATTTTTTTAGATTTGATTATGATTTTGATCATTTTTGGTTTCATTGTTTAATGGGATTTTTAATTCATTTTATATTTAAAAATTCATAATATTTGAACCATGTCTGACATTATTAAATAAATGTCATAATTCACTTATTCCATGATACATTTATTTACATTCATTTATTTAGTTCAGAATATAATATTAAATATTAAATTAATATATTAAATATTACAATTATTTAACTATATATTAATTCATAAATATAAAGTTAAGTTAGATTTTAATTTTAAATAAAAAAAATTTTTTTAATGACATTTACTCATTATTTTAAATGTAATATTAATTCTTTAATCGTATTTTAATTAATTACCTGCACATTTTATGATTTATAATTAAATCATATATTGGATAAATAAAAAAATTATACTTATACTTATTTTATGCACTTTTTTTATGCACTTTTTTTTTTTATTTAACCGTTTATTTTGGACATGCAAATGTGTGATCCTCCTGTGATTACAATAAGCGCACATCACTCAGAAATTGCTCTTGTATTGATGAAAGCTTGCAGGATTATTATATCTGAAACATTTTTAAAAGGATAAAGGTGATTCTACAGTGTAGGTGTCTGACTTTATTTTTCTCATTATTGTTGCAGAGGATCCCAAAGTGGGAGTGGGTGCTGTTATTTGGGCGAGAGGACAGTCGGTAAGATTTCTTCGTTTCAGCGCAGGTTCTTTAGTAAAACACTCCTTCGTTAAGATGTCAATTGGAGTGAGATAAGTCCACATATTATTTCACTGATTTGAAATCCTCACAGCAATGTTTCCTGTTGAGACGCAGTTAAAATAATGTGTCCCCTTAGTGCAAGTGACTGCTGTAACCTCTTTTTGTCTATAGGGGGTGCTATTACACTGAATTTCTGTTAGAGAGGTTTATGTGAACAGATTCCTAAAACTAAAGGATACCCTGAACACAAAATAAAGAAAGTAGCATTAGATGTTTAAGCCTCTTAATGCTTCCCCTCCTCTCAGTCTAACTGCCGTGGAACGGGCTGCCTGGATTTGGTCGGGTGCGGGTACAACGCCTACCCTGCAGGCTCAAAGTACGCCGAGTTTCCACAGATGGACAATAAGCAGGAGGACCGACAGAGACGCAAATACAGATACATCATCCACGCAGAACAGAACGCCCTCACCTTCAGGTCAGCTTGTCTGCAGTGCTGTAGCAAAAAAGAAACACCTGCTTGTCAAGTAATACGTATATATGTCTCGTCTTCCTGGTGTTTTCAGAACACGGGATATCAAACCGGGTGAGCTAACCATGCTGTTTGTGACCAAATGTCCGTGTGATGAGTGCGTTCCTTTGATAAGAGGGGCTGGAGTTACGCACATCTACACCTCAGACCAGGACAGGGACAAAGATAAAGGGGACATATCCTACTTAAGATTCGGCTCGCTGAAGGACATCGACAAGTTCGTCGTGAGTTCAAGTTCACTATTGGCTACTAGCATCAGAGACAATTAAAAGTTCTTTATTTTTCCCCTGAAGGAACAAGAAATCTCTGTAGAAGTGTTTTGTTTTTTTAGTTCTCCAGGGTTTCTGAAAGTCAGAGGCGTAGCCAGAACCTCAGCCTCAATCTACACTGTTCCAACAGGAAAATTAACGAGCAATACCTCCATATTTTGTAAAAAAAAGACAAACTATACTTTCCTACAGCCTTTCCTAACAAATAGACACATATATTTAAACATCCGTGCTTTCTGGATAAAAGGTTTAGTGGATAAAATTCTTTTAGGTTTGAGTTCTGGGTGAACATCTTTTCCATTTTCATTATTTACCTACTTTTATCAATAATCCTTCTGCATAAAATGTATATCTACAAACACTAATATCTACATAATTTGATTATTTAATAAGCTTTTATTAAAATAGTTATTTATCTGTGATTTCACTAAAGACTCTTAGATGAGTTGCAGAGACGCATTATTTTCTCTTTACCCCATAAAACAAAATTTAGCTCTGTAAAGAGCATGAATTCTGTATTTACCTTCTTTAATGTTAGCATATTGATGTGGATTATTAACCACAATATTTTTTGTTAAGTAATTGTTAGTATATGGAAAATTAAAATGTTTTGAATAATCTTGTGAGTATTACTGCTGCCACCATCTGTATTAGAGGGAAAAACTGGTAGGGGTGGCCAATGATTGGCTGTGGATGGCCATGGCCCCGTCTAGCTCCGCCCCTGCTGAAAGTCTCTCAAAAGTGTAATCTTTACTTTTAAGAGGAAGCCCCTTTTAGCTAATCTATCATGTTTTACAGCTGATGAACTTAGGAAAAGTAGGCTTTACCCAAAAAACATACAAAAACTAAAGCAGAAGTGCCAACGTTTTAAATACCACACTGCTAATTTGAGGTGAAATAGAACAATTTGGTCAAAGACGTGCTTCTTTAGCGTGGAATCAACTTTATGGAGCCAGTAGAGAAGCAGTCCCGCACCGTAATGCCACCACTGCTATGGTCAACAGTTTTTGGTTTGAAACCTTTTAACGTATTTAATCTCTTTTAATCTCTACACTGTACAAAATTCTTAATCTTTGTACTCAGCTACAACTCAAACTGTACGATGAATTTGCAGCGTTTAAAAGTTCACACCTCACGATGTACTGTATGTTCTCACAGTGTGCGGCTGACACTGTGATGCGATCTAACTGCTCACACTGTACGTCCAAAAAGGTTGGACTCCAAAAGATGCCGTTGGTTGGACTCATCAATATGGAAGGAAGAAGAACGGTTCTGCTAAATCGACACGTAGATGGTCATGGACGCTTGTAGCTTTGCTTCAACAGCAGGACTTGCTCACGAACACCTTATGAGGGCCGACTGAATTTCAAACATCTTTGATTTTCTCCTGACCTCACGATTCCTGATCGGGAGGTGGTTGTGAGCAGTGGCGGATCTAGGGGGCGGCTACATGGGCTACAGCCGCGGATGTTTCCCTAAGAGCCCAAGATCTCGCTTCTGAGCTGATATGAGTAAAATGTGCAGTACTGGAATTCACCAGATAGTGGCAGCATGTACAGGAAAGCAGTCTGTAGCGTTACCGGGCAGAAGAAGTTGTCACCACTAGCGTGGAAGAAATTAATTCACCTGCAAGTCTTTAACTGTGTTTATTCCTTTCTTCATCAACAACAAAACCTGTGTATTTGGTGACATTTGATCATTATTTGCAGGTTTATAAGAGGGAAATCATATATTTTAGCCACCTGATATAATCTGTTCCCCCTTTGATGATCTTTATGAAATATATTTTCTATTAAAATGTTTTTCTAACAATTTACAAATATTCCAAAAGAAAGTTCAAACCAAATGTCTGGAGCAATGCTCCTCCACACATTTTGAATTGAGAATTGAAAATACAATTCATAAAGATCATCAAACAAACAGTCATATTTTGGATTTCAAAATATAAAATAATAAATGTTTTAAACATAATATAGGAGAAACACAGTCTCAAAATTCACAGGATTTGTTAATTGTTTCCCATGTTATGGGGGGAATGGATCATATCAGCTGGCTAAAATATATGTTTCCCCCCTCATAACTTTGGCAAATAATGATCAAACGTCCCCAAATCCAAAAAGTTTGTTGTTGATGAAGAGAGGAATAAACACAGTTAAAGACTTGCAGGTAAATTAATTTATTCCCATGTTATGGAGGGGGAATTTATGTGTGATAGCATGTAGTATACTAGAAATATTTTAATCCAGTAATCTGTCTTATTTTACATTAGAACGGGATTTACCAGAAAGTCTACTCTCTTATCTTCACCCTCAGGGCTAAGCCTCTGATCTCCGAGAATCCTAGCTCCTCCCCTGGTCGTGAGAGCCTGATCTCCCCCGTTACCCCCCTATATACCACACAACGCAGGACGCACAAAGAAACTCGGCCTGGTCCAGAAAATTCCGGCAAAACTGGAAAATCGGCCCGAAAAGGGTGAAAAATCCTACAGTGTACCCTCGCCTTAAGTCTTAAATCTATGACACCAATAGATCTGAGTATTCTCTAAATTTGAACGCTTTAATTTCTATTCAACTAGACGTGGAAGTAGTGATGTTTTACTTTTGTGCGGTTTCAAACTCGGTCATTCAGTTAGCGGGTTTTACCATATGAAACAGATTTAAAATAAACAACAAATTTAGTTACGCTTAAAATTATTCCTAGGTTCGGCACATAAATGTTAAAGTGCCTTACATTCTATCAAGAACGCCTAGGAAACGAGGCGGGTATCTGTTAAGACGTAAAGTAAGAGTGAGAATGCCTAACCCTAGTTACCAAGAAGCTCCAATTTCAGTAAAAAAAAAAAAAATAAAGCCTTTTGTTTAGTTTCCGGAGCAAAGTCCGTTCTGTTCTGTCTTTGTCGCTATTTTCTGCCGTTTGAAGTTGAACTTTTTAAATTTTTTTATCCTTTTGTCCGTTTTTCATTATTTTAAAGCACATGGCTTCATGTTTTAGTATTTCTGAAATGCACGAGGAGACCTTCAGAAAATCTGAGGAAATACGATTTTAAAAAACTAGTTTCTTGGTAGCAAATAAAAATACAATATGTATATAATATAGTAGGTTTTACTGCATTTAAGAATAAACCATGTTTATTTTCTCACAGTGGCAACGAGACCCTTCTATATCCCCAGGTCTTTCTTCTCATCTTGCAAGTAGGTTACATCTCACTACCTTTGTTTGTATTTTTACTACCAATATGCATGTTAGCGCCTAGCATGAAACTTTGCAACCTTATTGTTTTTCTAGATGGTTGCATCGGCAAACGCAGCAGGCAGGCTGAACAGGACTACAGGAACAAGAAGCTATGCTCCAAGACCAGGAGTTCACCTACTGTCAGCTGAACATCAGCTGTGAAAGGATGAATGGACAAACCCTGATCAGGGGCTTAGATTTGGGGGGACATCATTCGAGTTTGTACGTCTTTTGTTTGATTTGTTTTTGTCGCACTTAAATGATCGTTACAACAAACAAAGATAAATTGAGTTAATACCAAGCAGGATTTGAGGAGGTCACAGCAACCACACCAACCTGGCTTTATGTGAAAACCTAGTAACATCCATCACATTACTCACAGTAAATCTTTCTGTGGCTGTAGGGAACATTTTGGCGCACTTGTTTGAGCAGAGTTGCTTTAATTCAGTCAAAATTGGAGGGTTTTCCAGCCTGAATGTCCCGTTTAAGGTCACCCCAAATGATCTGGGCTGGATAGACGTCCACACTTTAGATGGACTTGGCAGCATACACCAGATAATTGTTCTACTGTGTGAACCAAGTTGTTGGTTATCCAGGTTTCAAAGAAGCAAATTAGACCCACATTATCACACTACCACCACCATATTTGATCCTCACTGTGATGGTCTGTCTCTGAAATGCAGTGCTAACAACTAATGTTTCCCTAACTTCTAGGAGATCATCAAGATCTTTTACCTTTAGATGTTTCTCATAACATCTTTCGCTGTGGTCCTCCACACTTTCATACATAATAGAAAAAGCTTTGTAGCCCTTTTCAGATTAGCTTCCTTTTCTCATCTGTTCTTGAATTTCTTCTACCAACACCTTACAGTTTACTTCCTAATGTCTTCTAGCTTAAGTCATGTTACCAGACAGATTCTACAGGGGGAAAATAACCAAAACATGTTGCAAATTATTTTACAATATATAATCAGGTCATTCATTTCTGATATCAAAATGTATTAAGTGATTTGAATCATTTGGGTACGACAAGAGAGTTCATCCAGAAAGTAATCTGTAAGATGTCAAACAGTATGCACATAATATTTACGTGAATCTTATAAAGTAATATATGTGAGGAGTAATATAAGATAAAATGCATAACTTAGTTTTGTTATTGTTTGTTTGTTTTCATGAGAAAACTGGTTTTTGATTGATGGTAATTGTATGGTGGTTGTTTTCCCAAAGACTTGCCTGAATGCATTTTGCACTTTATGAATAAGTTTTATTTTACAGTTTATTAGAGTATTCTTTAAAAAGAAAATTAAAAAAAGAAGTTGATTCTTGTATCACTCGCTTGAAAAAGCAACATTATGTTTACAATCTTTTTTATCCACGGTTCAGATAAAGAGGGGGAAAAAGGCATCTTTCCACATTGGGAAATACAGATGATCAAGATGGGAGGCTAATAATAAACCAAAATGCTGCAGGGTGAGGTAGCAGATTTTTAAGAAAGATATGATGTTTTTTTCTACAGCATCATTATTTTGAGTTGTTTGATTTATCCAACTTTGGTTTTCTTACATCCCTCTGTTTTAATTTGATGATGACGGCTCACAAATTTAGAGTATTGCATGAGACCAATAAAAAGGCAGTTTAGTCACACTGAATTGATCAGAGATGCGCCAATAGGAAAGGAAATTTTTATTTATGGAAAAAAAACTTCCTAACAGTATTCTCTGCATCCTTTATGGTGCGTTCTGACCGGATGCGGTTGATTCACATAGAATAACTATATAAATCACGAGCGGGTAGATTTTCAAGGAAGTCCTGCTGAATTTGAATGAATCAGAGCTTTTGGGATTTTTACAAAAAAGAATGATCTCCCCAAGGCGATTCAAAAGTTGTTAATTGAGAACAATTTCGCAGCAGTCCTTGATGTTACGTTTCACCTGTGCTTTTATTGTGAAATGCCGACAGCGAGACCTTGACAGGAAAAGCTATGGGGTTGCCAGGGTAACAGCAGGTCCAAAGCAAAGGGTGTGGTGATTTACTAAATATTAAACCATAATTCCAGCCACTAAATCAGGCAAACATGCCCACTGTTGCATTCATTACCCCCACAGAAATGACTTGTGATGTTATGTAATAACTTTATATCAGGAAATGAGAGCAGCATTAACTGCTACGTTAACAGGATGGTGACTTCATTGGCCGAAGTTAAAAATAATTCTATCTTAAAAACCAAATCGGCATAAATGACAGTTTTGCCTGCACAAATAAAGTATGATTCAACTTGTAGCTTAATGGGGGGGGGGGGGGGGGGGGGGGGGGGGGGGGATAGTTGACCTCTGGATGGCCTAAAAAAGTTATATTTAATATCTCTGAAACAACAGCACCACATGTAGTGTCAGTGAGGTGTCAGATTAATGCAGCTGAAGCTCTGCCTATTTGAGGATGCAGTTCAGGGTGTTAACACTGTGCATCTGAAACGCAGAGCAGAAATCACCGCAGGCACCGCGCTCAGTCTGAACACCATTAGCCGTCGGTGTCGCTTGTTTGTGTGGATATGTACACAGCAGGTGCATACGGAGCGTATCTGTGTAAAATGGACCAAACAACCAGAAAATGTAGGCGTAAAGAAGTTTACACCTTTATCTCAAGACCTCTTATGATCAATTAATGTGGAGAAACTTTGTTTTAGTGTGATGTGAGGGGATGCCCTACTCCAGAACGCCTTCTGGATGAGATATTCTGGCAAAATTTCAAAACACATGTAAGTTCAGAATCCTTTTACATGACACTTTTTCCTTTCACTCAATTTTCTATTAACCTGCTTGGATACAGGGAACGGAAAAACAACCAATTACATGTTCTATATCCCAAAAATTAAGACTCCCCTCCACCACTTTGCAATCCATAACTTTTCTGTGTGAAAAATAATTTCATTGCTCTTCTGCAAATGTATTTGTTGCTTTAAAAAAAAGCTGTAAATCAGAATCATAATAAATGAAAGAAATTAAATAAAGCCAATTTTTGTATTGGTTAAATTAGAGCCTAATGAATAATTTCATCACTTAATATTGTATCTTCTCTTTGAAATTTAATAGAAAAAATCGGTCAGTTCTAAAAAAATAAAATATAAATACCCGCAATGTTCTTTTGTAATTATCGTTTTCCTCCCCTAAACTCATTCTTCCTTTCTTAAGTTTTTGGCTCTAATTTTAGAGTTTTTGGAACTTTCCCATCTAAAAAAAAATAAATAAATCCAGATCATCATACTGCCACTACCCTGCTTCACCCTGGATGGTCTTTTGTGGTTTATTTCCCAAAAACATACTAAAATGTGTCACAACTCCCAATAAATACCACCGACACAACAATGAAATAATCTATAAGTGAAGTGGTCCAGCTATAATAGTGTTTAAATACCAAATGCTTATTCAGAAAAGGCTTCTCCTTTAAACTTAACAGCTAGCCACTTCTTCATATGGGATTAATCAAGGCTAAATGAGATTCACACTTCTTCCAAAAATCCAAGTTAATCAACAAACCAGTCAATATACACTTTCTTGAGACAAATTTCAAGCATTTTTTAGCTTTAAATAAATGATGCATTAAAATAATAATGATACAAAAATAAAAATAAGCTCCCGTTCTTTGCACGCGCTGTCATCCTTCAGATCCCATATCTAGACAAACTAGCTAGCCAGTCTGTGTGAAATGGCATCATTGTAAATTTGTCAAAATATATAGCTATAGCACCATATATATTTATATAAATAATATATATGTGGTGCTATAGCTATCCATGAAAAAGTCATCCGAGGAAAAACATTTAAAACCTTTTCATCAAAGTATATATTATTGGACATAGTAGTTTTCACATTTTACCTACAAAACAAAACCGCCTCAATTAAAAATTTATTGTCTGTTAAAAATTGTTTAAATGCATAAAGATATGCCATGTAAGTAGTATTTTTTCACTGCTATGCACTTACTCTGAAAATAAAAACAGAAATTTCTTATTGTTTTTTTGTTTTTGTACTTGCCTAAAAGTGTCAATATGTCAGGTGGTGTGCCTGTCCAGCTCCAAATACTATTTTGTAAAGGTTTAATTGTATTAATATGTATTTTTATTTATTTTTTTGCCATTTATTGTATCATTTGCAGTCCTCCAATTTCAGAGTACTTGTTTTTCCATCATATTTATTGAGGGGATTTACCCAGCTTTTATTTCACTTGAAAATAATGTGGGGCAAACAGTCATTGTGTGCAACCACTGCAGAGAGCTTCCAAACAAAAATACAAATAAAATTATTATTTCTAAATTTATTATTAATTTATTCATATATAACCTTACATCTACTTCACCAAAATGTGCTGCTAAATTTACAATAAATTAATTGGTGAGGCAAAATACAGTCTGTTGATTGTAAATGTTTATATACTACAATATATTCTATCCAAATGTATTTATATGTTTAACTGGGTAGAAGAATACCACATTCATTTGCCACCTTATAGACATTTGCAGATTTAAGAGTAGTGAGCACACCTCTTTTTATGTTTTCCATCTGTATGCATTAGAAACTTAGGAACAAAGGATGCTTCATAGCACACTGAGCTCATCTAAATAACCCAACCTTAGCTCTAACTGATCTAATCTTTAATCATATCCACCCTGGTTAATCCAAATGAGCATCTCTAGCTAATCCTCCTGACCAATAGACGTTGGAATTGTCTCCAAATCAGTAACATGTCAGATCTCCCTAAATCCTAGAAGCATTAGTCTATCACACTCCTCTCCTGTTTGACTGCACTCTCCTCTTCATCTCTATTTTGATCCCAGCCTATAACAATCATTTGGTGTTCCTTTTTATTTTCCTTTAAGTTTCAGACGCCTTTCCTGAGGCAACCTTCACCAATGACGCAGAATGTTCTCCACTATTGGTTAGTTATCTCTGCTTTTAACTTATAAATGATAAATGTGTGAAATTCCAACTGTTTGTGGAAAAGAGGAATGCAAAGCTAAGAAATTAAAGGTTTTTGATTGTGTTGACAATGATGGGAAATTAAAAACTAGCAGGACAGATTACAAAGCATGAGGATTTACCTTCTAATAGTTAACCAAAGGAGAAGGTTTTTAGCTTTTGTGCTTTTAGAATACACCAAAAACATTAAAGGGGGGCGCAGATATGTGCACCCTAGTTATTCCTCTAGTTAAATAGTGTTTTAAATTAACTATGAATATGCTGAATTGTGTTAACTGCTACATGAGCATCTGTTATACAGCATTTAATTATCATTAATTCCCTAAAAAATATTTATTATATTCTAAAATACTTAAAGATACTAATATATAGCATTAAAAGGTTTAAGGCAGGGGGTCTGCAACCTTCACAATCCAAAAAGACATTTTTGACATCAGTAGAGCTAATTTCTTATCTACGACCGGAGAAATGTCATTTTTAAAGAACCACTGTTCTTTTTTAGATTTTAAAATAAAGGAAAAAACTTGCAAAAAGAGAATACATTTTCAATGGGTTTTTGATATGTTTGTGAAAATTATAAACATTGTCCCCACAAAAAAAGTATATATATATATATATATATATATATATATATATAAAAACCCCAAAAAAACTGTTTTCTCACCCCTCGTGGGGTGGTATGCGTCATCCTCAAGCTCGGGTCCTCTACCAGAGGCCTGGGAGTTTGAGGGTTCTGCGCAGTATTTTAGCTGTTCCCAGGACTGCGCTCTTCTGGACAGAGACCTCTGATGTTTTACCTGGAATCTGCTGTAGCCACTCTCCCAGTTTGGGGGTCACAGCCCCCAGTGCTCCAATTACCACTGGCACCACTGCTGCTCTCACTTTCCACATCTTTTCTAGCTCCTCCTTTAGTCCTTGGTATTTCTCAAGCTTCTCGTGTTCTTTCTTCTTGATGGTGCTGTCGCTTGGGATTGCCACATCTATCACTACTGCCTTCTTCTGCTGTTTGTCGATCAACACGATGTCTGGTTGGTTAGCCATCACCTGCCATATATATATATACAGGTGCTGGTCATAAAATTAGAATATCATGAAAAAGTAGATTGATTTCAGTAATTCCATTTAAAAAGTGAAACTTGTATATTATATTCATACATTACATACAAACTCATATATTTCAGATGTTTATTTTGTTTAATTTTGATGATTACAAATGACAACAAATGAAAATCTCAAATTCATCATATCAGAAAATTAGAATATTACTGAAGACCAATAAAAACAAAGGATTTATAGAAATGTTGGCCAACTGAAAAGTATGAACATGAAAAGTATGAGCATGTACAGCACTCAGTATTTAGTTGGGCCTCCTTTGGCCTGTATTACTGCAGCAATGCGGCGTGGCATGGAGTCCATCAGTCTGTGGCACTGCTCAGGTGTTATGATAGCCCAGGTTGCTCTAATAGTGGCTTTTAGCTCTTCTGAATTGTTGGGTCTGGTGTATTGCATCTTCTTCTTCACAATACCCCATAGATTTTCTATGGGGTTAAGGTCAGGAGAGTTTGCTGGCCAATTAAGAACAGGGATACCATGGTCCTTCAACCAGGTACTGGTAGCTTTGGCACTGTGTGCAGGTGCCAAGTCCTGTTGGAAAATGAAATCTGCATCTCCAAAAAGTTGGTCAGCTGCAGGAAGCATGAAGTGCTCTAAAACTTCCTGGTATGTGGCTGCGTTGACCCTGGACCTCAGAAAACACAATGGACCAACACCAGCAGATGACATGGCACCCCAAACCATCACTGACTGTGGAAACTTTACACTGGACTTCAAGCAACGTGGATGAAGTGCCTCTCTTCTTTTCCTCCAGACTCTGGGACCTTGATTTCCAAAGGAAATGCAAAATTTACTTTCATCAGAGAACATGACTTTGGACCACTCACCAGCAGTCCAGTCCTGTTTCTCTTTAGCCCAGGCAAGACGCTTCTGACGCTGTCTGTGGTTCAAGAGTGGCTTGACACAAGGAATGCGACAGCAGAAACCCATGTCTTTCATACGTCTGTGTGTGGTGGTTCTTGAAGCACTCACTCCAGCTGCAGTCCACTCTTTGTGAATCTCCCCCACATTTTTGAAGGGGTTTTGTTTCACAATCCTCTCCAGGGTGCGGTTATCTCTCTTGCTTGTACACTTTTTTCGACCACATCTTTTCCTTCCCTTCGCCTCTCTATTAATGTGCTTGGACACTGAGCTCTGTGAACAGCCAGCCTCTTTAGCGATGACCTTTTGTGTCTTGCCCTCCTTGTGCAAGGTGTCGATGGTCGTCTTTTGGACAACTGTCAAGTCAGCAGTCTTCCCCATGATTGTGTAGCCTATAGAACTAGACTGAAAGACCATTTAAAGGCTTTTGCAGGTGGTTTGAGTTAATTAGCTGATTAGAGTGTGGCACCAGGGGCCATCAATTTTGAAATTTTTGATTTTTTCAGTAATTCCATTTAAAAAGTGAAACTTGTATATTATATTCATACATTACATACAAACTCATATATTTCAGATGTTTATTTTGTTTAATTTTGATGATTACAAATGACAACAAATGAAAATCTCAAATTCATCATATCAGAAAATTAGAATATTGTGAAAAGGTTCAAAATTGATGGCCCCTGGTGCCACACTCTAATCAGCTAATTAACTCAAACCACCTGCAAAAGCCTTTAAATGGTCTTTCAGTCTAGTTCTATAGGCTACACAATCATGGGGAAGACTGCTGACTTGACAGTTGTCCAAAAGACGACCATCGACACCTTGCACAAGGAGGGCAAGACACAAAAGGTCATCGCTAAAGAGGCTGGCTGTTCACAGAGCTCAGTGTCCAAGCACATTAATAGAGAGGCGAAGGGAAGGAAAAGATGTGGTCGAAAAAAGTGTACAAGCAAGAGAGATAACCGCACCCTGGAGAGGATTGTGAAACAAAACCCCTTCAAAAATGTGGGGGAGATTCACAAAGAGTGGACTGCAGCTGGAGTGAGTGCTTCAAGAACCACCACACACAGACGTATGAAAGACATGGGTTTCTGCTGTCGCATTCCTTGTGTCAAGCCACTCTTGAACCACAGACAGCGTCAGAAGCGTCTTGCCTGGGCTAAAGAGAAACAGGACTGGACTGCTGGTGAGTGGTCCAAAGTCATGTTCTCTGATGAAAGTAAATTTTGCATTTCCTTTGGAAATCAAGGTCCCAGAGTCTGGAGGAAAAGAAGAGAGGCACTTCATCCACGTTGCTTGAAGTCCAGTGTAAAGTTTCCACAGTCAGTGATGGTTTGGGGTGCCATGTCATCTGCTGGTGTTGGTCCATTGTGTTTTCTGAGGTCCAGGGTCAACGCAGCCACATACCAGGAAGTTTTAGAGCACTTCATGCTTCCTGCAGCTGACCAACTTTTTGGAGATGCAGATTTCATTTTCCAACAGGACTTGGCACCTGCACACAGTGCCAAAGCTACCAGTACCTGGTTGAAGGACCATGGTATCCCTGTTCTTAATTGGCCAGCAAACTCTCCTGACCTTAACCCCATAGAAAATCTATGGGGTATTGTGAAGAAGAAGATGCAATACACCAGACCCAACAATTCAGAAGAGCTAAAAGCCACTATTAGAGCAACCTGGGCTATCATAACACCTGAGCAGTGCCACAGACTGATGGACTCCATGCCACGCCGCATTGCTGCAGTAATACAGGCCAAAGGAGGCCCAACTAAATACTGAGTGCTGTACATGCTCATACTTTTCATGTTCATACTTTTCAGTTGGCCAACATTTCTATAAATCCTTTGTTTTTATTGGTCTTCAGTAATATTCTAATTTTCTGATATGATGAATTTGGGATTTTCATTTGTTGTCATTTGTAATCATCAAAATTAAACAAAATAAACATCTGAAATATATGAGTTTGTATGTAATGTATGAATATAATATACAAGTTTCACTTTTTAAATGGAATTACTGAAATCAATCTACTTTTTCATGATATTCTAATTTTATGACCAGCACCTGTATATGGGCTGAAACAATCATATTAATCGATTATTGAAATAATCACCTAATTCAGTAATCAATTAATTGTTAACTGGAGCATAGAGACTCTAAAACATGCCATTAGCTGACAGAACAACCCACTTAGTGCGGTACTTTTACCAAAATTGCAAATATTTAAACATTTTGCATTTTAGATTAAAAAAAATACCCTTTTCCATCTGTCAATATGCTCTATCCAGGAATTCTCAAGTAAAAACCTTTTTTAGTTTCACCTTGTTTAATGTCATAAAAAAATCATCTTTAAGGAACCTTTGGCTATCCAATTATTAATCAATTAATCAAAAAATAATCAGATTAATCAATTTGCAAAATAATTGTTAGTTGCAGCACTACTCTATACATATCTATACGGTGTCAATCTTTTTTCTGCACATCAATGTCCTTCTTGGGCTTCCATGGCTCAGGGTGACATCAGTTTTGTTCTTCTATGTGTGTTTATATCTGATAAACTACCTGACTGTGTGACACCCTGAGCTGCAAACATTTAGTTTGCTATATATATCCATGGTTTATTGTGAAACATTAAAAAGTATTTTCACAGCTCGAATTTCATTGGCCTTTAAATTAAGGTCACTTCGAATGTGATGATTAAAAGAATATCTACTCTTTTATAATGTAAAGTGTGTCAAATTACAATCTAATCGCTAGGATTTTTTTTTTTAGAAAGAAAAGAAACAGTTATTTTGGTTGTTATTCTGCGTAGAGCTGAAACAATTAATCGGATTAATCGTTATTAATCGATTCTTGAAATAATCGTCAACTAATTTAGTAATGGATTAATCTTTAACTGGAGTATAGAGACTGTAAAACAACTTTAGCTGACAGAGTAACCCACTTAGAGCAGTAATTATATAAAAATTGTAAAAAAAAATGTATAAAAAAATGTGCATTAATATGAAGAAAACTTTTTTGTCTGGCAGAAACGTTCTAGTTTCACCTGTTTAATTTCGTTTAAAAAAAACTACTTTCAGGAACCTTTGGCTATCAGATTATTAATCGAAAAATAAAATAAACAAAAGTAAAAACAAAATAATCATTAGCAATCCTAAAAAACTAAAATAAAAAAATATATATATGGTATAATATAGTCAACTTAATTTGGAAATTCTACTTATTTGGTCAGCAGTGAAAATTCTAAGATCTATATTTTTATATCTATATTTTAAAAGATTAGTTTGCTCTTTATCATTTTATTTGTGAAGAGCCGTTGAAGAATATCTAAAGAGCCACATGTGGCTCCGGCACCTCTGGTTTCAGACCCCTGGTTTAAGCTAAAGCACATAGACACAAAACCAAGATCCTATGATACAAAACAAACACACACAAAAAACATGCAAAAAGTGCATTCCCATCTTTTATTTGTAGTAACTATGGTACAGAAGAATCAATGTGGCTGCTTCCAGAAAAGACTCTACCAAAGTTACTAATTGGAATTTGCTTCTATTTACTACATAGATGTGAAGCTGGTTGTTGTTTCACATTACGACTGTAACACAGTGTCTAAACAAACTGGCTGGTTTTCCTTCTCGCCTCCAAAGACAAGCGTAAAGGTGCTAATTATTTATTTCCTTCATCCAAAATGTAAAGCGTGCTGGAAACTCACAGCTTCATGACTGATACTGACAGGACTACAGCTTGTGTGTCTGTTTGGGTCTGCAGAAATTTCTAAATACGCTGTTTTTTTTTTTCATCTTTAATCACAAAGCAAAGCTGGAAAACTCTGTAAAATCTTAAAGCGGAGATGATTGGAGTTAAAGTGTCAGTTTTAAAATTTGAAGTCAAAGGAGAAAAAAAAAAACTATTAGCTTTATCTACACCAAATTAATTCTCACTGTTATCTAACACAACATTGCTTTCAGAAATAATCCTGTTGGCAAGAATTTAAAGCTTCAGTCTGAAGATAACTGGTTACTGGGCTTTTACTGCTTTCATCCAGGTTGAACGAGCATTAATATATGGATACATGTCCATAAGCTGGAGGTATTTAGCAGCTATCAAGCTTCTAGCATCATTCTGCAAAGAAATAATTTAAACAGGGTAGTCACATTTATGTTTAGTTCATAATTATATTGTTTGACCAAATCCAAACCGGTTTTATTGTGCATTATTGATTGTTGCCCTTTTAAAGCAACCAAATCCATCCCTGTGAAGTTTTATATCGACTTTGCAACATAAATCATAAACTAGAGGGTTAAATATTAAACACAATTAAGATTTTTCTTATTTTTAAACTGGAAAATGATCCAAAACACTCAAAATCGGTTGGTTCCGGCATAAATCAGGCAAGCATTATTAGGCCTCTGGGTTGGCCCACAACTTTTAGGGGTGGTAGCATCCATTCAGTGGGTTTGATTTTGCTGCAATAATTTTATTGGATTATATAGATAATATCTTTAACTTGACCTTGAATCACACAGGGAGATTAAACATGTCACAATTTCAATTAACAGCACAGATTAAAATATCCAGCCTGCTTATTTATAGGACATAAATCCAAATATTAACGTCTGCATGTATGGTTTTGAGCCCGTATTAAAGATGAAGGAAAATCCACAGTTAATGTAAGCTTTTAAACACAATAAATGAATTAAAGTCCAAAATATCTGGACATTCATGGAGGAGATTGCGTAATCTACTAGAAGGATTACTTCGCTGGCATAAAAAGATAAACACTGGCACATTCCAAAAAGGTGAAAAGTGTCCCAATGACAGTGCAACTCAAACATAGCGAGTTAAGAGGTTCACTGCTTAATCAAAAGCAAATACGTTCCGTTCGGAGTGTATTTTCATCAAGATCATAATTAAGCTCCCCCAAGAAAGATGCGTTAAAACACAAATAAAGGTGAGAAGAAGGGAAGAAAACACTTAAACAGAAAAAAAAAGGCACGTCTGAATCTCAACTATTTCCTTCTACGGTCGATAAATCAGGGCAAAAAATAAAAAGCACAAAACAGCCACCATTGCAGCCTTTTTCTCTTCATCATGGGTTATAATTAAAGTTCTCACTCACAGTGGCACTCAGTTCAGTTCAGTTCAGTTCAGTTCATGAACACATACCACACACTGTACATGGCAACAAATCCAAAGATATATGTTTTTTAAAAATTAGAAAAAGCATTGAAAACTGATCAACTTATTATTATTTTTTATATTAATTTTAATCTACAGAAAGTGCTTTTAGCGACTGTGTCCAACAATCCTGGAGCTTTTTTTTTGTACCAGTGGTCACAAATTTTTATTTCAATGATCGAATCTTAAAATATTTATTTTAGCCATTTATTTAAGCCATAATTTATTTCTCTTTTCAGCATCTTGCTAAAGCCAACTGCGTATTTAGAGTCTGCTCATTTTTTACTTCTTCTTCATCTTTCCCCAATAATCTCTTTGACACAGATGCATAAAAAAAAATTTGGTGATTTCCTCCTTTAAAAGAGGTAATCAGAGAATCAAAAAACATTTTTGGCCCAAGACTTTTTTTTTTATCGTTCTTCCTGCTGGTTCTTTCATCAAAGCAAATCCGATTCAACACAATGAGCTGTGGCACTACATGCTACAGATGAAAAACATGTTTTAAAGTAAAAAAAAAAAAAAAAAAATGAATTTACAAAAGTTAGATCAGTGATTATGAGCTACTTTTACCAACAAGGATCAATTTGTTTTTAAATAGAATAACCATTATTGTTAATGTGTTTTGTTTCTACGCCTTCCTATTGGTAAAAAAGTTTGGGGAGCTTTTCTAGGAGGCTGGTTTCTTCAGATCCCTGATCTGTTTGATTAGGTAGGTCTTCTCGTCGTTAAACTGCTCGTCGTCTGTGCGATCCTTCTGGAAGTTGCTCAAGAAGTCGATTAGTTTGGTCTGGTTCTTCAGCAAGATGTCGGCGATGGGCTGCGTCTTGTTGGGGTTTGCGACAAACACCTGAAAGTTGCAGAAAAAATATATCAAATAGGGCACCATCCCTGTTCAGATCTGATCACATTAAAAACAGCAACATTTTCAGATGAGGGTTGAATTTCTGATTTTTCGCCCTGCTTATTAACCTCTTAGCATCCAACTGATCGGCGGCGTTCCATTGTGCATATTTACATTAAACACAGCAGTGTGCTAGAAAATAGCACTGGTTAAACTTTTACTATTATAGACATGTTATACGTCCTTAGAAAGCTTAGATTTTCCACAATTCAACTACCAAGTTCATTTTATGGAAACCATGAGCACTAACGTACAATTAATAAAGATATACCAACATGTTAAATCAAAATTTTTAAAATAAAGCTTTCGACCTTTGACGCGATCCTGAGGCCGCATTATAAATCCAATCTTAGATTGTTTATATTAAATTTGTCCTTATGGGTCTACAGATAAAAGGTAATCCAGCACATTCATAATAAAAAAATTCCATGATGAGAAAACCATCACATAAAATCAGTTCTTTAACTCTCGGAAAAGTTCAATCCTTATAGCTAATGCTAACCGTATTGCTTTTGGTATGTTTGTTTACATCACCTTCCTGCCGTAGGCGCGACGTCTGTCGCAGCAAACTCAAAACATTTCCAAACAATGGATGATTATATTCCTGTTATCAGGACTAACTTCCCACTCTCGCCGGTAGCCATTGTCACTACCTGATCAATCCCAGAAGCACGATCCGTTCTGCGCGTGCGCTATCAGCTCATTTGTGCATCCAGATATACATCCGGGTCACCCTCGATTTTATTTTGCTAGAAAGACCTAAATGACGTTTTTCCCTCCCCAAAAAAAGTAAGCGTACCAAAATACAATGTGTTAAAGGTTAATAATGTATTTCCTGATAAAATAAATGCATTAAAATCCTGTTTTATCACTCTGTGCCCGAAATGGGATCCTACGCTACTACCGGTGGCTAACTTTTTCGGCTTTTGATTTAAACATAAATCTAGTCTTTTTGACTAGATTAACCTTATGGTATATAGTGCTTAATCTAACTAAAGAAAGAACTAAAATGCAGATAAACATGGTAAACATATTCTGCCGGACTGCTCTGAGCATGTCCAATGGTGACGTTAGAGAAGCAGTTTAACGAAGAAAATGTAAAAAGCAACAAAATATTCTCACAAATGGCATAAAACATTTTTTAAAGACGTGTATTAGCATGCTTAAGTGAGTTAAGGATAGAAAAAAAAAAGTTATTTTAGTACCATAATTACATTATTTATGGACAACCGGATGTATATCTGTTCGCGCATGCGCAAAATGGATCGGGTAGTGACAGCCATGATGTTGTTGTCGAAGTGCACCGTGGGAGTAATACTCCAGCTACGGAAGCTCCGGGGAGCCAAAATTGCAGCGTTATACAAAAAAAAATATATTTTTGTTTTTTAATCGCGTGCAAAAAAATTCTAATAAATTTTTTTGACTATGCTACAGCTTCTCATTCAGACTAATTTCTGGCCTTTGACTAGGCCATTCTGGGACATGTACTTTGTTTGTTTGCTCTAAAGGATTACGTTTTAACTGAGGGTTTTGGAATAAATGAGGCTAAACACAAATGCTTACCTCACTTTTAGGTTTCTTTTCGAAAGAAATTCTTTCACATTAAAGCCCAGTTAAAAGGCGTATCTGTTTGTTTATCAAGCCCATTTTCCAGTCCCCTTAAATGCGTCTTTCTTTCCTTACCTTAAACACGTGGAAGGCCTCGAACTGGATGTTGGGGCTCTTGTCTCTGAGCAGATTCATCATGAGTTTGAGGTTTTCAGGCTTGCTGATGTAGCGCGTCATCACCACGAAGTTGTGTCTGTCCAATAACAGCTCGCCCAGAAGCTGCAGGAGAGATGATTTCAAACAGTGACAAAGGGGTCACGCGCCGATAGGCTTTTCTGGATACTCATGCGTGATCTGAGTCAAACCTTGAGCGACTGCCGCTTCGTGACATAGTTCTCAGAGTGCAGCAGCTTCTCATAGTTGGCGAAAACCTGCAATCAAGCAAACAGAACATAAAAGTTTGTTTATGTCCAGGTATCAGATCTGATAACTGCGGCTCCATGGCTAACCAAAGAACCGGAGACCCGTCTCTGCAGCGGTGACGTCATCTAGACCCACTTTCATTGCAGCTCCTGCTGCAAAGGCCCCTCAGAGTAATGCAACTCAAAAAGGCAGTTCTGTATAGAGTACCTGTAGCAAAGACCCTAGCAGGCCCCTGGAATGAAAGGGCCTCTCTGCCTCTGGAGACAGAAGGCATAAAGTCCTGCTTTGTACCTAGAGGTGTTGTGACATTGAGAGCACTCTGCATCTCCTTGCTTTTTCTAGGAATCTGCATTCCTAGAAAAACACTCAGAGGGCCTGAGTGTGACATGATTGGACCACTGAATACAGCCGCCCTTCACACATCACTGCACCACTGCTAAAGATGAGTTAAAAATCCATCTAGAAGCTTGAGTTCCTACACACAAACAATAATTAAGTCTTCTGTTAGAACTCTTAGTACACCTTTGTAGGCTTTAAGCCGATGAAGCTGGGGCAATGGGTTCATTTTACGTCTGTTGAATCTTTTCTGTTGATTTAGTCATCTGTTTCAAACAACTTGTGGAAAAAATATAAAAGATTATCTAAAGAAAAGTGTTGCAGGAACCATCCCAGTAGCCTTTAACATATCTAAAGTTTAAAAAGGGTTTATTTTTACCACTGAGCTATGAAGACATTTCCTGTTACCATCTTCCTACCTGTGGGTTGCACACCAAAGCCCAAATTGTCATGATCTAGTTTGACAAATTTAAATTATTTTCCAAATTGTGGATACAGAAACATTTAGGTGACTATTTTAATATGATATAGTCTCCTCTTATTTCCCATTTTACCAAAGACTTACATATGTTTCTCTCTCATAGCTATAAACTACAAAAGCATGCAGCCATGATTATAAGAGTAAAAGCACTAATAAAAAGAATAATACATTTGTGAGCTAAAACGTCTGTAGGTCATTACTATGCTGTCAATTTTCACTACTAAACGAACATACTAATTTTTACAGCAATAAAAACACATTTATTTTAAATGTTTGTGTTTTTTAAACATTTATACCCATAAAGGGATTATAGCTTCTCTTCCAAAGGAATACAGCAGGTTGAAATATTTAGTTATTTCCAATAAATCAACAAATACCATCTATTGGTTCTCTGTACTACTTTTGTGCTGGGAGGGTTTTAGTGTAACAGGCGTGTTTTTATGATCAGATCACTCACAGCGTCGTAGTTCTGTTCAAGGAAATCAGCCACAAGCACTTTGTGTCTTGTAAGAAGATCCTGTAAAAATAAATAAATAGAAAATAAACAGTTAAAAAGAAAACAAACATTATCGTTCATAATAGTTTTAGAAAACTTTATATGTAGACAAGGTTTTAGGACTTTCCATTGTTAGCTAGAACTGATAGTGTTTTGTTTTATTTTCTGGTGAGAATGAATTGAAATATGGAAAAACCTTTGTAACATATTTCAAAGCATTGCTTAAAAAAAAGGATACAGGTTCTTCTCCATTACTTAAAATAATCGCTGTTAACAGAAAAGGTAGTAATTTCAGGCCTCTCAGATTAAGATCTAAATGGAGTTATATCCAGACATTAACATCAACAACACCTAAAAATCTATTAAAAAAATAATAATAAAACTTTAAATCATCTCATCTTCCGTATGCTAACATTTAGGGTTAAAAGACAATTTTCTGAAATAAACAACCATTTGTTTATGATCCACTAAAACAGGAAGTGTTTCCATGTACTGATGATCTTGTGCGATCTCGGACCAAATCTCACATGAAACAAAATCATCTCTTCAGATTATTTAAAAACATTTTGGGGAAGGTATTTTTCCAACTTAATCAGATTAAACTCAAGACGAATTGTTTTGAAACCAGTTTTTATTGCAGGATTAACAAATAAGGAAGAGCCAAAAGCTGGTGGAAAAGGACATAATACAGTTAATGTCCCAGATGGAACCAACAGCTCTAGCAGGTAGTCAACAGCCAGACCAAAGAGGCGACTGCAGGTTGTTTCTTTAACCAATAATTAATTGTTGCCATATAGTATTTTTTTCTCTGTGTCAAAGCCAAATGAAGGAGAGGATGTTTGACTGCAGCTTTAATTTTGAGTGTTTATACTTCTTTACTGTCACCTCTCAATGTTAGCGTTAGCTTAAAACATGCTATGGGGAATTTGACTGGATAAAACTTTGAATGATGCCTAACTACAGCGCAGACAAACCCTTAGGAATCCCTTACGGGACATGAAAGTGAGACCGACACAATCACTCAATGGAGAGCTAATCTAAAACACTTTGGTAACAAGTGTTGCATCAGATTAAGAATACTGGTCAGAACTAAATTGTAATTCCCACCTGAGCGGCAAGAATTTTTGAGGTTTGAAGATGTATAGATTAATTAACCTTCAAATTTGATGTTTTCAATAACACCTTTTGTTACAGTCTAATCTAGGGGTCGGGAACCTGTGGCTTGCAAGCCAGGTGTGGCTCTTTTGATGATTGCATCTGGCTCGCAGATTTCAGCTTTTCAGATAAAACATTAAATATTATCACTTGTTTTAATCCATCCATCTATTTTCCTCTGATCGTGTCCTGTTCAGGGCTGCAGTTGGCTGCAGGAGCATTTGTCCATTATTTTTAATTGGATAATAGCCTATGTTGGCCGTTGCTGGTAAACAGGTAAACGCCCCCTTTTGAATCAGTGCTCGGTCATTAGCTTAAAGCTAACTCTTCAAAGTAAGTTTCAAGAAGAATAGACTGAAGATTTGTGGAGAGAGCAGGTTCTGAGATCTGCCGAATTTGCAATGACAAAGCTGCATCGATGAAACGGTTGAATGACACACGCCATGCAACCTTTGCATCAAAATACCCTGCAGTAGAAAGCAGGAAGAAAGCATGCCAAGAGCTTCTAAGCAGGCAAGCTAGCCAGCAGGAACTCTGTGTATGGAACCGGTGTTCCTTCAGACCAGCATGCCCACAGCTAATACCCGTTTATCCCTTTAGTTCTCTACGGAAAATACACTTTAAACTACCTCAACATATGTGTATCCCTTTAGTCATGTACAAAAACACAATGTAATTACTTACTTTTTGTTGTTTTTTGAAGTGCATGGTGATCTGACCTTAAATATTTTTTTTTACATGACTGAAGGGATACACGCCCGTCTAGGTAGTTTAAAGTGTGTTTTTCGTAGAAAACTAAAGAGATAAACGGGAATAGCATAAGCGTTTGCAAATCTGATGTCTTGCGCATGTGTATTGACTATGGGTATGCTGGTCTGACAGAAAATCAGTGTTACATCCAGTTCAAGCTGGATGTAACCAATAAACTTTTTGATGATCTTCCAAACAAAAGATAATCAAATGGAATGCAGACATGCCTCTGTCGGCAAGAACTGTTCCTGATCGTACCATCATGATGGAAAACCAAGAGGAGGAAACGCAAGTTAAGGACATAAATGCAGCACCGTTCTTTTCTCTGGCTTTGGATGAGTCAGACGTAAGTCCTTTGCCACATTTCAGTTCAGCAAATTCTTGCAGCACCAGAAGTTGATGTTGAGTATTATAACAACATTACAGGTGCTGGTCATAAAATTAGAATATCATGAAAAAGTAGATTGATTTCAGTAATTCCATTTAAAAAGTGAAACTTGTATATTATATTCATACATTACATACAAACTCATATATTTCAGATGTTTATTTTGTTTAATTTTGATGATTACAAATGACAACAAATGAAAATCTCAAATTCATCATATCAGAAAATTAGAATATTGTGAAAAGGTTCAAAATTGATGGCCCCTGGTGCCACACTCTAATCAGCTAATTAACTCAAACCACCTGCAAAAGCCTTTAAATGGTCTTTCAGTCTAGTTCTATAGGCTACACAATCATGGGGAAGACTGCTGACTTGACAGTTGTCCAAAAGACGACCATCGACACCTTGCACAAGGAGGGCAAGACACAAAAGGTCATCGCTAAAGAGGCTGGCTGTTCACAGAGCTCAGTGTCCAAGCACATTAATAGAGAGGCGAAGGGAAGGAAAAGATGTGGTCGAAAAAAGTGTACAAGCAAGAGAGATAACCGCACCCTGGAGAGGATTGTGAAACAAAACCCATTCAAAAATGTGGGGGAGATTCACAAAGAGTGGACTGCAGCTGGAGTGAGTGCTTCAAGAACCACCACACACAGACGTATGAAAGACATGGGTTTCTGCTGTCGCATTCCTTGTGTCAAGCCACTCTTGAACCACAGACAGCGTCAGAAGCGTCTTGCCTGGGCTAAAGAGAAACAGGACTGGACTGCTGGTGAGTGGTCCAAAGTCATGTTCTCTGATGAAAGTAAATTTTGCATTTCCTTTGGAAATCAAGGTCCCAGAGTCTGGAGGAAAAGAAGAGAGGCACTTCATCCACGTTGCTTGAAGTCCAGTGTAAAGTTTCCACAGTCAGTGATGGTTTGGGGTGCCATGTCATCTGCTGGTGTTGGTCCATTGTGTTTTCTGAGGTCCAGGGTCAACGCAGCCACATACCAGGAAGTTTTAGAGCACTTCATGCTTCCTGCAGCTGACCAACTTTTTGGAGATGCAGATTTCATTTTCCAACAGGACTTGGCACCTGCACACAGTGCCAAAGCTACCAGTACCTGGTTGAAGGACCATGGTATCCCTGTTCTTAATTGGCCAGCAAACTCTCCTGACCTTAACCCCATAGAAAATCTATGGGGTATTGTGAAGAAGAAGATGCAATACACCAGACCCAACAATTCAGAAGAGCTAAAAGCCACTATTAGAGCAACCTGGGCTATCATAACACCTGAGCAGTGCCACAGACTGATCGACTCCATGCCACGCCGCATTGCTGCAGTAATACAGGCCAAAGGAGGCCCAACTAAATACTGAGTGCTGTACATGCTCATACTTTTCATGTTCATACTTTTCAGTTGGCCAACATTTCTATAAATCCTTTGTTTTTATTGGTCTTCAGTAATATTCTAATTTTCTGATATGATGAATTTGAGATTTTCATTTGTTGTCATTTGTAATCATCAAAATTAAACAAAATAAACATCTGAAATATATGAGTTTGTATGTAATGTATGAATATAATATACAAGTTTCACTTTTTAAATGGAATTACTGAAATCAATCTACTTTTTCATGATATTCTAATTTTATGACCAGCACCTGTATTTATAATAATAAATTTACGGCTTATTTTACTCACATTTAGCTGAATTCAGTCTTAAAATATATTATTAACTCCCACTGAAATAAATTTCATTGCTCTCTGAGTCGAAAAGGTTCCCGACCCCTGGTCTAATTCATCACAGCGGTAAATCACAAACAGACTAGGCTCAACAAAGAGGGCTTTTAAATTCCACCACAGAGTGGGGGTTTGTTAGGTATCCAAGCTGACTTCCTCTTCATAATGGATAAATTAATCTGTATATCCTTCTTTAACTAACTCAAATTAGAATAAACATAAGTGAAAAGGAAAAGTTGTAAAAACTGTGGTATTTTATCCCCTTAAGTAGATCTGATCTTCAGCACAAAATGTCAGCTGGTTATATTCAAAGCTGACAGGAATCTCAGTTACCTTAAAGGTAGCAAAGGCGTCAGAGGCGATGTCAAAGGTGGACATCTCCACATAGTTGAAAAAGCTGTGGAAATGCTCCGACTGAAGAACTATTTTGGCAAGTGGCTCATGGCGAATGCATTCCCTCAGCATGATGCCGCAGTTCAGCGCTACCTGGGGCGTTTCATATCTTCAGACAGAGAGAGACCGGCTTTACGTGAGCGTGCCACAACATCGATACAATATGTTGAAAACCTTCTGATCGGCTCACCCTCTCAGCAGAATGAAGAGGACCTCTTGGTGGGAGCAGAAGTATTCAACTGTGGGGCTCCTCGTCCCGATCTGCCTCCTCAGGATGTTGTTAAAGATCTGGCAAACATCTTTCTTCCCCTGAAAACACCAGAAACGTTACATTCTGACCTTTCTACCTCATCATCTGAATCGTTAGCTTGATATCCCCTCACCTCAAAGTCTATAACCTGCAGGTTTTCTACCAGAGAAATCAGAAGGCCGCTGTTGTAGAGCTCCTGCGCGAGCTGAGCCACAGTCTCAGTGTGTGGCTCCTTATCGTTGCTCCCGTACAGAATCTCCTTCATGGACACCAGGCATTTTGACACTTCCTCAGACGCCTGGACAACATAGAGGACGAACGAAATGAAAGGATGCTTCTCAATAAGGAGGAACGCAACATAAGTGTATGTACCTACCTTTTCTGTCTTCTTATCATGTTTGACCAGAACCGTCAGGTTTTCCTTGAGGGTCCTGACAATGTCTGCAGGACTCTTGTGGGATTTACCAAACAGCGGCATGACGGATGCCCGTTAACGCCTCGAGACCTGAAAGGCATGACAAACGTGACGCTGGTCAGTGGAAGAACGTGGCTCAACTCCGCCGGCCATTTAAATCTAAGCCAATCACGGGTTAAATCGGCCTAGTCAAAGTCCAGACTTAATAAAACTGAGAATAAAATACATTTTCACAAAAGTTGAAGGGGTGTGAATACTTGTTCCTTTTTACCCCATGTTGTTGCACATTCAAACGAAATTAGAGACATATCTTACCAATTTCTTTTCGCTTTTCCCTCCGTCTAACTAATAATAAATAACGGTGACAAAAAGCACACACACACAAAAAAAAGAATCAAAGCAACACTGTTTTTTTGAATGGTGGCGAGACCCGTCTGATTTTGCAGAATAATCCCTGGCTCCCATTCATTTCTGCACTACGTCTGAATATCACCCTGCAGGCAATGAGTCAGTTATGAATCATTTCTAAACATCCCAGATATACAAGCTGCAGGTTTTTAAAGTCTGTTAGGTAATAAAGTGGGCGGAACGTGAACAAAACCAGTCTGACGCCAGCAGATTCAGTCTCATATATCTGGGCAGCGACAAAAACTTGCACACAAATAAGGCTTTTTAACCCAATCTGCCAGCTGATTATGATTTAATCCATCCAACAGAGAGGAATCCAGCTCTACCATTTTACATATTCTCACTCAGGTCCATTTAAACACAGCCTGGTTGAAGCTTAAAGAGGAAACATGCACGTTATGTCAAGTTGATTGCAGTAATTACCGGCTTGCTTTTCTATCATTGCATAACTCGTCACTGGATGACTCGGCGTGCATTTTGCCCCGGTACACCCAGAATGTCAAGAAGTGTTTGGCGTCCAACCTGTATCAGTAGGTGTAGGCTAACTAAATGTTGTTGTAGCCACGCTGTTGGCTTAGAGACGCATAACATAAAGACACAAGCTTTAGCACCGAGCAGCAGGAACAGCAGCTCAGGATAGCAACATGTGACAGCTAATCCTCATGGGAGAAAATGACTCTTTCCACCCACCTCACCTTTGCCATAAACCAGTAGAACCTTAATTTCTTAACATATCAGTATCAGTTCTATGAGTTAAATAAGACCAATATTAACAATCGATGTTGTGGGCATGAGGTACTTATTTGGTATTTTTATTGAATTAAGTACCATTATGCAGTGGTTTAATATCCCTAGAGAAAGAAGGGAACGCCACACATGAAGCTAAACCTTGAATTTATAAGTCATAACTCAATTTAAGGCATTTATGATAGAGTTACACCGATCAATTGGCCTTTATTTTCCTAATTTTGGAGGATCCATAATAGGCTGATACTTGGACATGAAAGGGGCTTTATTTACTTCTGCAAAAGTCTGAAAATCACCCAGATTCAGAGCACTAATCTTTTTATTTATACGTGAAAAACTTATATAATACTACCCAATGGGTAGTTAAATAGGTTTTTATAGTTTTACAGGTATTGTTTGATGTTTATCACCAAGATAAGATTGAAATGTTATTGTGATCTTAAAATAACAAATAGAATAAGAATCGATATGGTTCAAAATCAGAATCAGCACATGTAATAAGAGTTGTTAAATGCAAAAAGAAAAAAAAAACATATACCACTAATCAAAGTGAGGGTTAAAGTAAAAGCAAGCTTGGTATGGTTTTATGTTTTTGGAGTTTTTTCTAAGTAGGTTTATTTTCTGTAAAATTTCCCTTTTGGAATTAATAACTTTAATGCTGTTCAGAACTTTGATGAAATCTAAATAAGTCACCTTTTTTCTTAAAAATGCATTTGTTCTTGAATTGAGGAGGTAAATGAGACAGTTTGCCTATGGAACAAAACTAATTTACATTTAAAATAAGAAAAAAAAAACTATTGTATTGTCTTATTTTAAGTGCATATTATCTAATCATCAATTTTAAGCATAAAATTATCATTCCATTGGCAAATCATCTTATTTACCTACTCAAATTAAGGATAACTACACTTAATTTAAGACATTTTAGCTTATTTTTAGATTGTTTTCTTTGCAATGTAGCTTAATATCCTCTCTATTCAGAAAGAACCTCCCCAGATTTAGTTCTAGCTTCCCATTTTAATCACATTTTGAGCAAAGTTCCTGCTAGTTTCCTTGGTCACTCATCTCAAATCGAAACTGTTCTGCATCCAGTTTCAGGGAGAATTTGTGACAGAACCGCTGTTGGAGTAGAAAAGCTTCATCTCTGACCCAGTAAGGCATCCTTTGCACATTTTCCCAACCATAACACCTGACCCTGAGCTAGGATCCTGAACCTCTTCCCTAAAAACTTTTTAGGGAAAAGAAAATTACAACTTTAATCCAAAAAAGTTCGAAAATTAGAACTTTAATCCATTCAATCAGTATTTTCAGTTTACAGCTTTGCATTAATTGGAACTGTCCAAATGTAAAACTTGTGTTTGATCCAGTTTCATATTAATTTCCTAGTTTTTCATGCAACTCAAATAATACGCAGGTTTCAAAAAGCTAAAACTAACCCGTACTTACATCAATTACTTCCTTTGGTTGTTTTTTTAAATCTTTTTGATTGAATTAGATCCTGAATTGAAAAGTACTTCAAACTTTTTTGTAATTATAAAGTAATTTAGCATATTTTGGCAACAAATTCTGACAAAACAACAACATAATCCACATTGAGGAGGTTCTTCAAACACTTTCATGCTTCTTTATCAACTCATGTCGCACACACATTTCCTGCTAGGCCCGGCTGCTGCTGCCGTCACTGCATGTCAGTAATTATTAGGAATAAGGTCCAAAGGGCCGGCTTTAACGACATGATCAAAAGGCTATGAGTCTTTAGAAGCTTGAACAGCCGTTTATGGTTGATTTTTCCCCTCTAAATGTGATGTAATGAGATTATTCTGATGTCTGTTGGGGTTGAAGTCACACAAACCAGCAAAGCTTCCACAAAGACCCAGATACTTCATTTTATAAAGACGTAAAGCAAGAATATTAGAATAATGATTTGTCTGAAATACCTACAAAGGACAGGCCTACCTTTACTGACAGATTTGATTAAAAAAATAAAATAAATCAGGCTCCATGCTTAAAACCGATCTCAAATAAAGAAAACAAATATCAATATGTTGACATATACAGGAGAGAAAAACTTGCTATTTAGCCTAAAATTCATCGATTACAGGTCCATGATTCATTAGTTGGAGGAGCAGTGCACAAAAAAACTTGTCTGAGACACCGAACGCAACATTTAGCATCAGATTACGACATCCAAAGAGTGAACCTGTTTTTGGCCTGGATGACTAATCACTGGCGTAGCGATGCAGCGATGTGAGACCGTCACACATACCGGAGATGCCCTTCCAGAGGAAGAAAAAAAAAACAAAAACAATAAAATGGGGCTTTACAAATGACCTCTACAGCTGGAAAACATATCAGTAGTGACTAAACGCCCGTTTTTAGACACACAAGAAGAAGCAGCCAGTGAAGCTAACCAGCAATAGACACGATACTGCACTAAATAAAAACAAAAAACATTTAAACCAACAAGCAGGTTTAAAATGATTAAAAAGACAAAAAATGCTATTAAAATCCTCTGCTCCTACTTAATACTGCTGGTGAAAAAAACAACCTTCTCCTTCCATCAGGGCCGGCGATTGCTATAGGCGAGCTAGGCAATTGCCTAGGGCGACAAATGTGTTGGGGGCGCCCTCTATACTTAGCGTCGCCCTTAGGCTTACTTCCCATTAATCATAGAATTAGAAAAAAAAGCGAATTAAACCGGTTATGAAGCGTCCGTCAGTTTGACTTAAGCTTACGTATATATAAATAGCAAAATATGAACAAATAAATATACCACCGTTTTTTTATTTATTTTTTCACATTTAAGAGAAAATCGGAAAAGATTCTGATCTCTTTTCAAGCGCCCTCCAACCCGGAAGTCGTGACGTCAATCACTGCAGCATGTCCACCAATATTTTGGAATGAAATTGTAAGCAAACAGATATTAAAAGTAAAACAAGTGAATTCTGACACTTAACTTTGCTCGCGACTCGAGGATGGCTGAACGGAAAAGACTCCCCTCTCCTCCTCCAGCTGCTGCCGCAGTCGGGCCCGTCTTAATCATCCACTCAGAGTACCACTGGTCAGCGCGCACACAGACTTTGTAGCTTGTCCGGTCAGTTAAAAATATTAATTGTGAAATCCGTGTTGTAATCGGAAGCATACAAGCTAGTTAGCTTGAAAAGTAAATAAAGTTTCAGACGTGCTGCGTGATGATGTGTTCAGATTGGCTCAGTAAAATGACAATTAGGTTATCATGATGGGTTCAAGTGTAACGTAAAGAAAACGGGAAATTTTGTTTTTGGCGAAAAACATGAGTGATACAGTTGTATATGCTCTATATATAATTAAACTACTGATGCCAACATTTATTAAAAATTACATTTAATTTAAAATACAATTATTTATTTGTTAAATATTTTCCTAATCACTAAAAACATGATGAAAAGTGACAGTAGACAATACATTAACCAACAATTGTGAAAATATATTCTAGTTAGTTTTATGTCATTTCCAAGTGGCCTATTACATTAGCCATGTTTATTGAAGGCTAGAAACGTTTTTATTATGCTCACAATAGAAGCAATACCAGTTCTGTTAAAAAGATTTTGTTGCATCGTCTTTCCACCAAATAACAGAAAAGTATCGATAGTGGTATCGATAAAGACTCGGATCGATAAGGAGTATCGATAAAGGTATCGATATCAATAAATATTAACGATCCCCATCCCTAATGTTGACATTTTTTTCTCAGAATTATGTGCTATATTATTAGCTTGAGAATGGGTAGAAGATACTAATATAAATAAAATATTTTGTAGTGATTATCTGCATTGAGTATTCAAAAGGGATGTACAAATAATCATCAAAATATATGAAGTTATGGCTGTTCATCATAGAATATGTGAACAAAAAAAACACAACTTCAAACTTTTAATTTTGTAATGGTATTCATA